TTTTATGTTTATTTATTGTTTTTATGTTCAGTCTCAACTGTTACGAAGTTGATGTGCAGTTAATAAGTGCAATAAATATTAATATTGGAAAAGAAGCCAAAAGAATCGTGATTCTCATTTTATGCAAAATCGTGCAGCCCTAGTTGATACTCACTGTTTTTGTGCTAATTGTTATGTCAAATACACTCACAGATCCATCGCCTATTTACTCACTCAAGTCTGCTAACAGCAGAAAGTCTAAAGGTGAGACGCAGGACCTGGATCATCTCCCAGCCCCTCATTTCAATGACACTAAACTGCTGTATGAACAGAGTACTTCCCGTATTGTGTGTGTACCCCAGGAAGAACACACATTCCTGCCTTTCAGTTCAGGAACAAAATAAACAGCAAGCAGTAAAAGTCTGGGGGGAAAGAGGCCATGAAATGATAATATATTCCATATTCCTCAAGCTCATAGACTGCTGTATTTCTCCTTCTTGGCAAGGGAAGTTTTACTGTAAATTCCAATATTACAAATAGTTGCCTTCATGCAGTTTTGTACTTCTTTCCCTGAGGTTTACTCAGGGCTGCAAGTGAGATTCAACAAACTTTCTTAAACTCACATTTTTAAAATCAATTAATTATGATTAATGCGATGAAGGTGATGATGATTATTCGGCTGCTGGGGGGCAGTGGGAGCAAGCTGAGAACAAAGCATTTTCATTTCATCACCTTACACAGCAAGGAGAGCTTTCAAATGAAGTCATGACTCTGGCCACCTGGTGAACCCAGGACTAATTTTCACTCCTCGTTGTTATTTTGTTTCCTTGTCTGCACTGTGGTTTGTTACCAACTGCTGAGGTTTGATGCCAGTTCACTAGTTGAACTCTCTCTGCTTGGCTCATCCACAAAACTGCATTTGAAAAGCAAAACAAAAAGTATTAAAAAGTGTAAAACAAATAATTCCTTGTTGTCCTTGCATTGAGTCAGATATAAAACATGGGTCCACACCAGCAAATGTTCTTCAGGCTCTGTGAGAAGAAGATGTGATGTGACGTCATGCCAACGCATTAGACAAAAGGAGGTTGGCCCACTTACTTCAGCTCGAGCAGGAGTAATTGCCTCTGTTCTACATTAGCATCGCAGCTGCAGCTTAACAACATTATTTATTAACTGTAATCCGTGTTGTTTATTAGTGGAAAGCTCGAGCCCCCTTCAAAATATAACAATATGAGATTATGCAGTCTGGATGCACAATTTCCCCATTGGCGACATTTGTTAGCATTCTACTTTTAATTGTGACATTCCTTTGTGTTTCCGAAAACACCTCGGGATCAAAAGTAGAGAAGCCTTCTGCTAAATGTGCATTTCAAAATCGCAGAGAGCCGCCCCAACCTTCGTCCTCCTGACCAACGCCTCCAGCGCTTCCGGTGGATAGCGAGGTTTTCCCAACCCATTTGAGAGTCACAGTCTCTCCAGCGCATCCTCAGTCTGCTCAAAACATCTCACCTTTGAGACGCCCAGGAGGCACCCCTAGCGAGACGCATTAAAAGTAGCCAGTGGCTACCCCATTGGCTACTGTTAATGCAAAGCAGCAGCGGCTTTACTCTGAGCTCCTCATGAATGACTAAGCTCCTCATCCAATCTCCAAAAATTCCTACCTTACAATGGTGAAGAGGTCTGTATGCCTGAGTGATCCCAGGAGCTGTGCTGTCAGGTCCAACTTGGCCCTACAGTCCTGGTTAAAGGGCCAAACTAACGCGGTTCTACTGACCACTATGAACTCCTTGCATCTTTTGAGCAGGACTGAACAACACGATGCAGACAAGACGTAATTATTCAAAAGCATGAAAAAGTAAAGGAGCACACATGTATGTTGGTTTGTATTTAGCCTAATGTTACATAACTTTGTAAGCAGCCTGTTGCAACTTCTCAAAATTCCTGTTTTAGTAGAAATAAAAGTCTATAACTAATAAAGTTGTAATGCAGTTTAGAATTTTAAGCAAAATAATAATGTGGTTGCTGAACCTCCCACAGATTTATATAATCCATAAAAATCTATTTTGCCCGAAGGATGGAAAGAAGTATGAAAAAGGGCACACACTGTTAACGGGAAAACTACAGGCCAGTAAGTCTGACATCTACAGAGGCGATGCAAAACCTCATCAGTACCTTTATTGTTGACAATGTGCCACGTAGAATTTCATCAGCGAGCAGGTGCATTTAGTTTCTTAGGTACACCTGTTTACCTGACAGTAAATCTCTAATTAGCCAATCACATGGTAGCGATTGAGTGCAAGCAGACATGGTCAAATATCAAACTGAGCATTGGGAATATTGAAGAAAGGTGATTTAAAGGTCTCTGAAAGTGACAGGTTTTTTACTTATCGCCCTGGGCTGGTTGCTAGTTTAGTTTCGTTCTTAAATTAAAGCAAAAAAAGTGATAGAAAACGAGTTACTAAACTAAACTAATCCAAGTGTCAAAGGGCTGTCACCTGTGGACAGGTTAAGAAAGGTTCACAGATACCAGATGATACCACAGTTAAACCTGTGATCCTCTTTTGGAACAACATAGAAGATTAACATCCTTTAAATAAATTCCACTAACATTGTCCAGTAGTACTTAATAATATGGCCCACGAGTAAGAGTGCTGTAATTACATGAAATTTCAATGTATTTCATTGGAAATTACATTGTAATTAATTTACGCATGGATAGTTAAAGGTAGGCACACTAGAATGAGGAGATAATAAGAAATAATTGCACTGTTAATATTTTATTAGTAATTTTAGGTAGTGCATGAGTAGTTTAATTACTGGAACTTCAAGTTTTTTGGGGGGGTTGTTTTTTTTGTTTTTGGTTTTTTTTTTTTACAAAAAAGGAGACACAAATTACTCTATAAGTAATTTTAAGTGCTGCAAAATTTATTTGGAGTGACTTAACTTTGCTTAAACTTCCAGGTATTTTACAGGAAAGCAGACGATACTTTCCTCAACACTGCTTTTCAAAGTTATGCTTGCACAGTGACTGTAAAAGACAACAAAGTTGACTCCATCATTTAAAGATCACACAGTCCTGCAGAGTCTGTTTGTTGTTGCTTTCTTTTTCTTGTAAGTTAGTAAGGGAAAACGGCCCTTATCACATTTATGTGGTAAAATAAAAGTTAAATAATAGAGCATCATCATGCATAATGAATATTATATAAAGATGTATACATATCTAAAAAATGTACTTGTCAAGTGTTGAGTGTGCTTGCAATATAAACTGGAGAAATACTGTTTCTCTGCAAAATTACCAAGAAACTACACAGTACTTCAATTTACTTAAGCAGTAGTTAAACAGTATTATTTGTGTCTCCTTTCCTGTAAAATACCTAAAGTTACACACTACTTATATTTACCTACAGTATAATTATTTCTTTGTTTCCTGTAAAAACCTGACTTATTATTCCCTTGTTCTAATGTACCTAGCTTTAAATATCTGTAGGTAACTAAAATTACATTGTAATTTCAAGTGCTAATTACAGGGGACTTACACTAGTCTTCTAAAGTGCTACCCATGTCTCCCCAACTAAAGGGAGAAAAATGATTCATCTTTTGTACAGGCCGCATCGGCGTATAACGAGCTTCCAGAGGAGGTAGTGCAGGTTCTTTCACTTCACTCTAATTAGAGCGGTCAAGAAAAGGACATTTTCTAGAAAACAGAGCTGTAGAAGAGAGAACAACATCCTATTTACACCGTGGTCTTTTAACTAGACTACACTCTGGTCTGGAAACATTTGCTTCAACATAACATCCCTAATCATACACACATCTTTTTTGTGTGCTGTTAATTGCTTCACTTTGCTTTGAAACGCCACAGCTCAGGATCTCTGAATGTAACGACCGTCTGAACTCTCTAAAAGGACACACAGGATACTGATAATTAGGACTGGACTTGTATCACTTGTCTCTGTAGATGCATTTTTTTAAAAAAAAACAAATTCAACAAATTTTCCATTATTTTGTTGAGATCTTTAAGACCTCCTGAAAGTCCTACACTGCCATGTCATCCAGCTTTTTAATTAGCCAACACGTCAGAGGTGTGCTTGTGTTCGAGTGTGCGTGTACTCACAGATATTTGCGGTGCCCTTGGGTATGGGCAGGTATGAGCCAGCACTCCACGCTCGCCCCTGGTAGTTCCTCTTACAGCGGCCGCAGTCGGGCCCAGTGGTGTTGTGTTCACACTCACAGCTCAACTTCTCTTTGTCATACACGCAGCTGTTGGCGTGAAGATTGCACTTGCACCTGTCAAAGCAGAGGAGGGGCAGGGTTGAAAGAGGACAGGCACGTCAACATGAGTGAATTTTCCAGTGCTGAATAGAGAACAGACGGCTTTTATTTTGTTGGACAATGCTGCTGAAGGGCAGCATGTCCTTGAATAGCAGTGGCACTGGAACACAGGCAGAGCTGCTAAAACAGTCGCCTTCTCAACTTCAAGAACTGCTAGTTCAAAGAAGGCAGGCGACTGCACGAATGAATCCGGCATCATTATTTCCTCCACTTTCTTTCTCCCCCTCTCCACTCGGGAAGGTAGTTCGGTTTTAATTGTCCCACTGGAGGATGCGTAATTGTTGTAAGGTCACAGCTGATGGACACGAGAAGATCGGGAGGGAGAGGGGGACGAAGAGGTGCAGGGAGGGCCGAGGAAAACAAGCTAAGTTAAATTGCGAAACAAGCACTTGGAGATTGAAGACGTCAAAAAGCTCGCAGCTCCGAAAGATGACGAATACCTCGGAGTCAGCCAGAGGGCGGCGTGGAGCAACAGCATGACTACCTTCTCCATGACAAATTAATATGAGATGAGATCTCAGAAGCGCATTTTCAGTTTGGAAAGAGGGACTCCCTCAAGGTGCACTAAATCCTCACTCACATCCTGCTCACTAGAACATCCATTTAACAATAAACTCAGCAGATTCATTTTCTGCTGTGGCTAGATGAGTATTGGGTGGGGTGGGGGGTGTATCTGTTAATTTAATTTATGAGCTTCAGTCAAGCACTTTGAATTTTTAGACCTTTGCTGCAGACAACAACATGACTGAATGTTTCCACATTTCCCAGAGAAGAGCTGTGAGAATTTGGTGACAATGCTTTCTAACATAGTCTGATTTAAACATGAAGTAGGAGTAGGAGAATATTTCCTGCCCACAAGTGGATTAAAGGATTTAAAAAAATCTTTTATACTCAATGGCTGTCTACATTTCTACTTTCAGGTTCCGCCAGTGTTATGTCGGTGGTTTTGTTATTTTGTCCATTTTCTTTATACAATCACTACTTTTATTTTGACAGCTAATGTTGAAAAAGGTGGCATGACACACTCCCCAAAATGATCACGTCAAGCATAACTGTGTTGTTTTTAAAGAGTACCTGCCATGAAACAGGCATGACTCACCACAGATTAATGGTGCTGCCTTTGTTTAGTTTGAGAGAGGAGGAAAAATGCTGAGAGTCAGGTAAAATGCCACTGTTCAAGCCTGTCTCAATCATTTTAAAGTGCAGTTTCGTTCAGCATGCTGGGAGTTCGTTACAAATGTCTTTTCTTTCTTCTCAAATCAAAGGAAATGTACACAAAAAGAAAGGAAATTTGTGTTTGGTCGATTATTCCTTTGTTGTAAGAACGCTTCTTGGTAATCAATCTTTTACCGTTGGAAAGCCTATTTATTGCTGTGAATGAGCACAGCAGACCCGGTGACATCAACATGCTTTGCAGCATTCTTTATTAGCACACACGGTTGCTGTTCACAATGCACACAGAGCTGCAGCTCTCCCGCTGCTCAACATTACCACAACAACCCCAACCACAGGAGGCAGTACAATATTTAAGTCGGCGGGGCGTGATTGCGGATGCCGTGCAGGTGCGTCCGCCTTCCCTGCACGGTACTGCAGGCCCCGCCCCGCCACAATTGCCCTTTAGATGTTGTCACATTTGTAAGGAAAATGCATTTGTGGGTTGAGCAACAGAGTTGAGTCGATGAGTTGTACCCATGAAAAACTTGCTAAATCTCTGTCAATGCCAAACAACTTATTCTGATGTAGATGCTTGTTTGGTGTCATTTATTGGATGTCTGGATGATTGAAAGCTGATGAAACAGAGTGGCAGTTTAACAGCTTACTCATTTAATAAAGAGAGGCCTCAGTAGCATGTGGAAGAACCACTAAATGCCCACAACAGCCTGGCGCCTCCTCCGCATGCTGGTCACACATTGCTGTGGGGTGGCATTACATTCGTCAACCAGCATTTGTTGCAAGTGATGTGGTTGTGTTGGTCACAGAATAAGCTGTTTGGCATTGGCAGAGAAGATCTAGCATGTTTTTTAATGGGTACCACTCATCGACTCAACTCTGCTGCTCAACCTACTAAAACATATTCCTTACAAATAGGGATGCACCGATACCGATACTGGTATCGGGGCCGATACTGTAAAATGTGTGTGTACTCATACTCGTAAAAGTTAACCGATACCATGAACCGATACTAACTTATTTCATTAGTCAGAGGGTGGCTTGTCATTT